GGGTGCTGCAGTCAGTATTGTGAGCATGATGGTAGTTGTCCATGAAGTATCAAAGTCCCAAGCGTAGGGTATCCTAAATCTTCAGAGAGTAGGCTACCAACTGCCACCTATAACTCTGAACTACTCAGAGATGACTAAAAATGCTCTCAAGTTAGTGATGAAAGCAAGCCACGCAGTGGCAGTAAGCTGCCTTTCCTCTTTATTACTGCAACTTGTTTTGTCCTGAGCAGAAGCCAAAGAATCACATAGATGGAAACTTGTGTTAAAAAGTACTGAAAATACAACAATGATAAGTTTTCTCATCTCTAGCAATGCGCAGTTGTTAATTTACTTGCTGTGATGTCAGACAGTATGACTAAGGACTGCACCAGACCAAGTCTTATCAAATGGTCTTTGAATTCTGCCTTATACTATTCTGCTAGTTAGTCTGTCTCATCATCAAACCAGTAAGTGTTGGCTTATTGCCTTTGGTTACCTAACCCACCCCTTTGTTTACATGGTGCCTACTTCTTTCTCTGTACTTCAGGAAGCTTTCTTACAAGAGTCTGATATGAAAATGTCCTTGATGCTTCTTGTAAGGTGCCAAAGGTGTTCTCAAAGAATATGGAGGAACCTCAATAGACATTTTTATTTCAAAGAAAGACTGGTCTTCATCGTAACCTAGATAAGAGGAGGCCCAGTGTTTAATTTCTACGTTAGTATCTCTCTAAGCTCAGACCTAACGTGTCTTAATTGACTGTTGTCTTTCAGCACTTGCAGTCTGCCTGGCTCTCAAGAAATTAAACAGTGGTGTTGAATCATTATCAGTAATGATTCTCGAGAGTCCTTGTGGTAATAAAGTTCTGAATAAATTTTTAGTAGTTGAAATTACACATGTAAATCATAAGTACCTGTATCTGGATGACTGCCTGATCCAGGGAAGGTCTTGCTAGGCGATACCGAGGCCTATTTGGATCATATTCCTTTCTTGTTGTCTCAGCTGGGACACCCTGAGATATGGAAGAGCTGTCTTGCTGGACAGAATTCATCTGAGCTGTAATTAATTTCTCATTGTCAAATGCTTATTTTCCAGAGGATAAGTTCCAAGTCTTTCAGGAATATACAAAAATGTATGTGAGTACTTCTGGATTATTACTCCTGTAAGCACACATGTTCATGATACCCTTCACCTAAAGTTGCTAACAATTTTTAATGCTAGTTTAAGCCACCATGCTTTGCTTCGCGCTTGCAGTAGGCAAAGAACATGGTATTGGTGATTTGCTGTATGAAGTTGTTTTGCTGTAGCAGTTGGATCCTCAAAGCTGTCTGAATGTGCTTGTAATACCCGGTTTGCTTCACCGGTCCCTTTTGCACACTGCCAGTTGGCTCCTACCCATGCTACTTTAAAGATCACCTTTTAGCCTGTGCTACAGAGGAAAAGGATGTTTTTGAGTTGTTAGGAGCAGCAGTACATAGCACACCTTCATCTACAACTTGACTGGCTCTGTGCATGCACACAGGAAGAGATTTCTTGCATGGGCCCTGCTGGAATGGGGAAACGGTGATCCACCACTAACAAGCTGACACACATTCTTCATGTTCCTCCTGATTCGGCTCTCGTTCTTCCCTGATTGCCTGAAAACTAGGCCCAATATCTTTGCTGCCAAACATTTTCTCTTTTTAAGGCTGAGAATGTGAAAGATTTTCAATTCAATTTTCTACCTTTTTTTTTTAAACCTCTTTATCTCATGCAGATCTTTTAAATCAACAGACCAGAATGAGAAGATTTACTGTCTTGGTAGATTAGCTGAGTTTTTGGTGTAGGTGCTCTATATTTGTGTCTGAACTTTTTTTGTTAGGCTGATCATCTGGCCACTGTTAGCTCTGTCCTGAGTGATCAAATCTATTCAAAGATGGAAAGGTATGTTAACTCTGTAAGTGTAGGAGGTATGTTGCTTATTTGTGTTTTGTATTGTGGTAGAGTAATATGAGTGCAGAAGAAATAGCACTTGAAGAGAACTTGCACTCAAAGTATTAAACAAGAGGCAATAACTGATTGTAGATAAAGCTCACAAGCAAATGAGACCATGATGATTAGCATGAGTAAAATGCATTTGCAGTGTCCTAGCAACCTGGCTTGTGTTCTCCATAAAAGAGACTTTTAAGGAGGAAACTGAAAGGAATTCATATTTCACCTATTTATAAGATTCTTCATTGAAATCTGAGCAAACACAAGAGGGAGAGTCAAGGTTTTTGGTTTGAAAATCTGACAGATGGGCTAGGGAGACTCCTAGCAGTTACAAGTGAGCCTGTTGATACTGACCAAGATAAGGAGAACTGAAACACATGCTGGAGAGAGATATGATTCTTAAAATTAATTTTTACAATTCTGGGTTGCAGGTTTATTATCCCAAGCAGTTATTGCAAGGAAATAGCAGGGGAGCCAAGGTAACTAAAGAATCAAGGACTTGCAATAAATTCAACTCTTTCACTGTCCTTCTCTGTGGTCTTTTGTCATGGTAACTTACCTTACTTAGCCTACACCTGACAAAAGAAACAAGTTCATGGATACAAAAGATCTGTGTAAGTACTAATTGTTCTGTGAGAACTTAATACAAATCGAGGTAATTAGATTTAAATAACCTCTTGCCAGGAAGGTGTATACAACCCAACTGTGATATCTGGCTCTCTGTCCTGCTATTGAACTTTTTCAGACAGAATATGATCTACCTTGTGAACAACAAAATTGCTTGTTGCTTACTGTGCTTATAGAGGGAAGCAAAAAAACCCCAAGCCCATGTTTTCTTGTTTCAAAGTTTTACTTTACCTTTACAACTTCCCTGTATATCTCTATATTAGTGCATTTAAATTTAAAATTAGATTTTATTATTCTGCCAGCTCTTTACGCAGAGTGGGTACATGCTAGAAGAAGAAACTTAGTACGTATATTCTAGGAAGTTTTTTCACTCTTGCAATCAATGGGTGACTTATTAGCAATTTCTCTTAGCAGTTCTTCATCTGCTAGAAAGAAGGAAAAAAGTTGGGCTTACTAGAAGAAAAGGCACAAAGGAAGCCTTCTGTACCTTTGTTTCTTGTGGTGGGGGTCTTCTACACTGAATGGTTCTCTTCTACACTGAAGTGTGGCTCTAAAAATACATATGCTTTTGCCCGAATGAAGAGAATAGTAACTCTAGGCCTCAAACTCCTCCTTCCTCTGCAATTAGGAAAATGGAACATTTGGTAATGTTAGAAAGGAATTTTGCAAAAGAAGCAAGAACCAAGAGCTTAACCAAAAGTCTAGTTCATTCACAACTTGAGTTGCCCCACAAAAATCTTTAATGAAGTAGTTTTGTGAATTCTGAAGCCTTGTAGAAAGCGTAACTGATTTTTTTTTAACTTTAAGAGAACAGACAGTTTGTTTAACTTTAATAAAAGTAAATGCAGTATTTTAACATTTAGATGTATATTACTTATTATGCAGAAGGATTTGTA